ATCATGACTAGGTCATAAATTCCCATATCTTCCCAGATTTGGGATTGAGCTGCTTCCATCTTAACCAGTCACTCTGAGTATTCTGAGATCAATCTAGGGAAATACCTAAAGATTCTATTCCCTTTGTTCATGAACTGAAGGTTTATATCCTCCTTCGTCTGGGAATGTTGTTGGTTGGCAGGCTTTGCATCTTCAAGTTCGTTCCTAGGCTTCTTTGCACAACCTATGGGTTTGAGTCTAGGGTGAGTTGGGAAAAGGAATTGTTTTGTTGAGGGTTTTCAAAACACACGGACAATGGACCTGCCATAGCATACATTTGTCCAGAATATCTAACGGGAATGAGTAGTCAGGAATGAACCTTCGTTCCCCAGACGAAGCAGGAACTGTTTTGGTTGGGAAAACATCTATTTATTGTTGTGAATCAGAGGCATATTTTGTCTTTGGGTTGTTTGGAGCATTTGAGAGGAAGGATATGGCTTTGTTGGTAGAAATATCATGAAAGAGATGAAGTTCTTAAGGATTGCTTTTGAATGCAAAGAGACGAGGAACTTCAGAAGGTTGGAAAAAATTCCAAAGGGAGATGTTCGTGGCTATTTATAGAAGCCATGGAAGAGTGTTTTCCCTCAAAGTCATTTAGTGTTGCAGAGTGAGTGAGACACATGGTGATATTTGGAGCAGTTGTACAGGCGAGTGATGGGAACGCTTGCCATGCTTTCCTAGGTTACAGGGATAATGGTCATCATGGCAGCGTGTAACGGCTGATTGATAGTGACATATTGGAAAGGTGTAATGATGGCTATGATGTCAGCAGTAGTTAGTAGAAGATGAAAAGTTCACTATGAACTTTTGTGACCAAGAAATGGACAGGTGTCGAATAAAAATATCAAAGAATGTTTATTTCTCCTTGTGTCGAAATTGACATTCTTGGGGGGAAATTTGTTAGCTCCTAAATTCGACACTCACACATATTGGCCTTATTGTCTAAAAATAGATTGAAGAAATCTAAGCTGAAGACAGTTTGATAGAAGAGCCTATGAAAGGGGTTGTATCTAAGTTATCCTTGTTAAGAAGGAGAAAACACTTAGAGAATTTTCTAAGTTAAAAGCAGTCTTCGACCGAGAGGCTCTTGTATCAGCAGCAAGTAGATTTGAATTTGAAGAAAGGAGGGAAAGGCAGTTCACTTGGCAGTTAGGAAAAGCAGCATGGCATGTAGATAGGGGTCGAAGAGCATGCAGAGGACCCTTGTACTCATCCTAGAACGAAGCAACCGTTCGACAGTTACTTATTACTAGTATAAATATAGGAAATTTGTGTAGAATTTCGTGTGTTGAACTCATTGTACAAGTCACTCAATTTTATTCAAGTACTCACTGTGAGAGAAAGAATATTTAGAATGTACGTTTGAATCACCATATTTTATTACAATCAAAGTCTTTACATTTCTTTACAATCCTTGCCATTTAACACTTCTCTGCAAACTTTACCATTACAGCCTTTTTAAATTACTACAAATTTACTTTATCCTGCACTTTACTTGCGTTTTTATCAAGTTTCTACCTTCATACTGCTTTCACTCTTAGTATCCTGTCGAACCTGTTCATTTAAACCTATTTAAACTCTCAAACACTTCGCGTATGTCCTAGGATCAAACTGATCGATCCTGCAAGTAACCAAAATAACCCGTTTTGGAAGATCAGCAGTTGTTTACCAATTTTCACGGTAAACAGTGATGAGTCGTCTCTTCCGTCCTTTCGCAAAGAGCACACAAAGACGAAAAGAAGAAATTTATATGCTTCCATTGGTCGTTCGTAGGAACCTTGTTATGAATAAGCATCCAAACTAAACTCGATTTGGACGGAGGTATCGATTTGGAAAAAATTAAACGCCACCAATCCTAACTAACACCTTTAACTCGGTTAAACTCAAAAGCATCTTTAGAAGAGAGATCCCCAAAGGCAGAATGAACCTATACTTTCTTATCATGCCTAAGATTAAAGGGCATATGCCAATTACGAATACACATCTGAAGAGAAAGAGGGATGGGAGTAGAGGATCCAGAAAAATCCCACTGCCCATTGACCATAATGTGGCTCACAAGATGGTCCACTATAGAAGACAAATTCACCATTTCAAAAAACAACAGAGTACCACACCAACTATCAAACCATAAAATGATAGAAGCTCCGTTTCCAAGACACCAAGTAGAGTTGTCTGAAATAGTATCCAATTATGATTTAATATTAATCCAGATAAAGGAGAAGATATGGAAATTAATGAACTTGTTTTTCCTAAACACTATTTGTCTAAGAAGAGCGACCCAAGAGTCAGAAGAATTAAAAATCTACCAGGAAAGCTTAAGGTTGGTAGCTTCATTAAACTTTATGAGAGATCTGATGTCGAGACCACCCTCCAGAATAGGCTGACACATATTTTTCCAAGCCAAGGTAATCACCTTATTTTTGGATGTCTCCCCACTCCAAATAAATCTTTTAACAGCCCTCTCAATGTTACAGACAAGAGACACTGGCCAAGCATAAACAAACATATTATGCATTAACATACTATGAATAGTGGACTTAACAAGCTCCACACGACCTGCAAAAGACAACAAAGAACCTTTCTAAGCAACCAGTTTGTTAATAATTTTGTCGGCAATCGACTGCAAATAAATTGACTTCGGCTTGCCTTTAAAAATCGGAACCCCCAGATAAATAAAAGAAGTATAACCTCTTTTAAAACCACAAAGCATTGCAAGAAAATTCAACCTAGAAGTAGACATAGCTTCTCCAAAAATGGAAGACTTGCTACAATTCACATGTTAACCAGACACTGTCACGTAATCTTGAAAGGTGGAGATAAGGTTTTTGATATTAGAAATTTTTCCTTTGTAGAAAATGAACACATTGTCAGCATAAAGAATATGAGAGGGCACTCTGATATTATTAAGACCCTTAATAAGATCCAACTTATGAGAGGAGACTAAAGTGGAAATCTTCCTACTAAGCACATATTCGACGAGACAAAAAAGCAGCGGAGAGAGAGAGAGAGGGTCACCCTGTCGAACACCACGAGAACAATTGAAATAACCATGTAAGCCACCATTGATGTTAATAGAGAGGGATGCAGAGTGAAGAATACTATTGATCCAAGAGTAGAATTGGAATTAAAACCAAATTCCTGAAGCACTTTAAGCAAAGAATTCCAATTAAGTGTATCAAAGGCCTTAGGGATGTCCATTTTAAGAGCCATGTTGCCGCACCAAGCCTTTGAATCAAGAAGATTGTACCCCTCAGAGACTAAACCAATACAATCTTGAATGTGTCTTCTCTGAATAAAACCCCTTTGCTCTTAAGAAACGAGAATAGGCATGATAGATGCAAGCTGGTCCGCAATAATCTTCGAGATAATTTTAAACTTGAAGTTTGATATAGCAATAGGTCAAAACTGGTCCAAAGAGGCATCACCTTTGACTTTAGGAACGAGAACAACGGTAGTAGAATTGAAACCTGAAAGCACCCAACCAGATTTAAAGAATTGCAGAAACCGCCTCTGAAACATCAAGTTCAACTTTATTCTCGAGCCATCTAACTCATTACCTCTCCAACTCTAATATTCCTGAAATGACCTTCAAAATCACATGCCCTTTTAATCAAACTCAAACCTACGATACTATTTATTTAATAGTAAAATTGAAATTGAGTTTATAATCCTTGTACTTGCTAAAATGTGACGAATAAACCATTGTTGTGTGGGATTGTCTTAGGTCTTTTGAATTTTTATAGAGTGGTGAAAGCTCACCCACGTAAGGTAGTGAGAACCTTTATATCTGATTTTTGTGTGAGACATTAGATATTTCCCTTTCCATTTTGGAAATGAGGTATATATATAAGAATTTTTGGACTTGAATTAGAGAGCGGTTACCCTAACTCCGTTATCAAAGATATGGAGCAAAGGGGACACATTTTCCCTGAAATTATGGAGGAAACGATTTCTCCATTGCCTCTCTCTAATCAGACACTGTTTGAACACAACATTACCCACGTATATTAAACAAACGAATAATTGGAATCAATTCGAACAACTCAAGCCTAATAGAAAGGCCTATCACACGCGTTGGACAACCTAAGTCTAATAAGACGATCTATCACCACGTGTTGAACCACCTCCTACCACGTGCCAGACGTCCTATCACCGTGCACTGAACGTCCAATTAGTGTTGAGAAAATTACCTTGGATCATGTACTCTTAAACCTTCCATCAAATCTATTGAAATTATCCCAATACAATTCTTTTTCATATTTTTTCCGTACATCTCTTTATATTATTATTTTTATTTTTATTGGTAGAATTAATTTTAAATTTATTATTCAATACAATTTTTAATAATTTTATTCAAACATAAATAAACTTACATTTAAATAATTTAAAATCAAAATAAATTCATTTAAAATTAATTATTACCAAAAACAAAGTACACACTCAACATAACACCAACAAAAGCATAGGCATGGGCCAAAGAAGGCATATTTATTACTCACATCTAACCTCAAGTAGGGTCAATAACTTAACCAAGATTATAACCCGAGTTAAAAAAACAAGTGGTTAAGAAGCCACAACCACACATAAACCTTATTTTCATTTCTCATTTTGCATCATCATTCCAACCAAAACACCTTTCTCTTCTTCATCTCTCCCCCTTTTCCTTCTAACCTTTGTTTTTTTTAATTTTCACTTTTCTCAAACCCCAAATCCAAAACCCCTTAATTTCTCAATGATAAAACAGTGTCTTCACTCATCAAATTCTCAAACTTCAATTCATGGAGTATAAGTATAACTATATATATATATTATAGGTCATCTCTCTCTAATCTCTAATCTACAAGAAAACCTAAAACCTATAGCATAAAAAGCTAACCTTGTCCCCTTTTTTATATCATTCTTTTCTCCTTAAATTATTATTATCACAAAAATCTTTTCTTCAAACCATAGATGTTAGAGCCATGGACATAACTTCAACCCTAACACCAACACCAACCTCATCAACAGCACTAACACCAACACCACTACCAACCATTTTAACAACATCTACAACAACCTTAACAAAATCACCAGATAATGAAACCGAAACACCCACCAAAATCACCACTCCCACTACCACAACAACAAAGATATCTTCTTTCTCCAACGGTGTTCTCAAACGCCTCCACAACCACCACCATAACCACCACAACAACAACCTTGTCACGGTTACTTACAAAGAATGTCTCAAGAACCACGCGGCAAACTTAGGTGGTCACGCCCTCGACGGCTGCGGCGAATTCATGACATCTCCCACCGCGACATCAGCCGACCCAACATCCTTAAAATGCGCTGCGTGCGGCTGTCACCGAAACTTCCACCGCCGTGAACCTGAAGAGCCACCACTCTCCACCACAACCCATGTAATCGAATATCAACCTCACCACCGTCATCAACCTCTCCCACCGCCACCGTTCTCTACCCGCAGCCCGAATTCCTCCTCCCCACCTCCGATCTCCTCGACTTACTACCCCTCCGCCCCTCACATGCTCCTCGCCCTCTCCACCGCGTTACCGGAAAACGTCTCCGCTCCTAACTCCGCCATGATCTCTCCCGGCTCCCACACCAGAAAACGCTTCCGAACAAAATTCACTCAAGATCAGAAAGAAAAGATGCTGAAATTCGCTGAGAAAGTTGGTTGGAAGATGCAGAAAAAAGACGAAGATTATATCCATGAATTCTGTAACGAAATCTGCGTCGATCGAAGTGTTCTCAAGGTTTGGATGCATAACAACAAGAACACTTTCGCCAAACGCGACAACAACGACAACCTCAACAACAACCTTAACAACATCAACAGTGAGATAAACGTCGGTGTCAAGAGTTTCATGCCGCTTGAGAATGAAGAACAAAACATCAATAAAGGTGAAACAAAACTTGAGATTCATACTCATAATCATAATCATCACTACCAGAATGATGTTGGATCAGTGACTGTTCGTGCTAACGGTTCATCTTCTTGATCTTTAATGGAAGAAAATTAAATAATTTCTTAGATAGATTTAAGTGCTAGTATGTATTATTATTACTTGGTTAATTTTTAATTAATTAGTTTTTTTTTTTAATTTTATTTTTATTTTATGTTATGAGATTATGAATGATGAATTAATGAGGAAGGATGATTATTACCACCTTTGTTGAAATTAAGAGAATTTATTTTAATTTATGTATTATATTTTTTTGACAATATTTATGTGTTACATTTATTTATGTGATTATGCCATTTTAATTATTAGAATATTATATATTTTTATCAAAAATCAAAATATTAAGATTCTAAAACTCAATTAATAAAAAAATCTTAACATTAAATATTTTTTAATATTATATTTTAGATAAAAAGTTAAAATATTAGAATTTTAAAACTCAATTTTTTTCTTATATAATAATTTTTTTTACATTAAGTGATTTTTAATATTATATTTCAAACACTTCTATATACAAATTCACACCACAACAAAAGGTAATATGTATCTTAAGAGCCGTAATAACTGCAATTTAAAACTAGTCTATTATATTTATATAGTTGTGTTTACGCTATAACTGATTTTGCACTATTATCAATTAATTGAGGGGAACTATTATATTTATATAATAGTGTTAGTTCTTGGAATTGGTTACATACTGTGATGAAATGTTTGGTATGATTTAATTTAATTTCTCTGTTCATTGTTCAGATGAAATTTGTTTGATAGTGAAAGTTGTACAGTGAAATTGTCAGTGTCATTATTTGGTTGTATTTATTTTTTCTTCAAGTTTTTTTCTTCTGCAAATTTATTTTTTTCTCCCGTAAATAAATGGAAAAGATTTTATATTTTTGTATATAAGTTGTAGTATTATTGTATAATTGTATTCGTGTCTGAGAGAAAGAGGCAGAAAGTGTTGGTGTTTGATCAGAAGTTTTATTGTTTTTGTTTTGTTTTATGGAAGGTGGTGAAATTTGTGGTGGTGCTATATTCTATTCATTCTTTTGGTACTGTGTTGCTCTGTGTGTTTCTTGAATGAAATTTAATATAAAAAATAAATAAAGAAATTGTATTTTATTAATGGATGTATAAGCATTTTGTAATGCAATAAAATACTGGCTTTATGAATCCAAAAGAAGATTTGATTATGCTTTTAATTATTGTCTCTAATCATGTGCTTTATTACTACGTAATCTGATCTTAAGATTAGCTTTTTAAGACTAATTTATAACGTTTTAAGTAACTTTTTTGGAATCAACATTCTAAGTAGCTTTAGTATTATATTCCAACGAGAATAATATGTGGACACTTTCCTTATCATGGAATGAAAGTAGATTTCCTCCCTCTTGCTAAAATAATTACTAAAATATACTAGTACACAAGTTTTTTTTATGTGTACATGAAATGTTGAGGTTTGAGATCGAATGGAATAATAAATAACTACGATAAGTTTTATTCTTCTCAAATAACATTTCAATTTTAAAGTTTGTATTTAAATAAAACATTAGAGTAAATTATACTCCCTTTTTTCCAAAACTCATATTATACTTGTTGAGAATCAAGTGTAAGGAAGAAGTCTCACATTAATTATAAAAGAGAAGATTGAGCACTTATATATGAGAAAACCCACTCATCTATTACCTTAAGATTTTAGATGGACAAGTGGTGTGTCTCTCATAAAGGTGTGTCCCAAGTAAAATGCTCTCTCCTCGGAATTGCCTCTACAGTGGTATCATGAGCCTTTGGTTTCGAGATAGGGACCGACTTACTTGTATCGAACGATGGTACAAGTGTATGTGGAAGAGAGTCATGAGAGGGAGCATTGTGACTCACACTTGAGGGGGAGTGTTGAGAATCAAGTGTGAGGAAGAAGTCTCACTTATATATGAGAAAACCCACTCATCTATTACCTTAAGGTTTTAGATGGACAAGTGGTGTGTCTCTCATAAAGGTGTGTCCCAAGTAAAATGCTCTCTCCTCGGAATTGCCCCTACAGTGGTATCATGAGCCTTTGGTTTCGAGATAGGGACCGACTTACTTGTATCGAGCGATGGTACAAGTGTATGTGGAAGAGAGTCATGAGAGGGAGCATTGTGACTCACACTTGAGGGGGAGTGTTGAGAATCAAGTGTGAGGAAGAAGTCTCACTTATATATGAGAAAACCTACTCATCTATTACCTTAAGGTTTTAGATGGACAAGTGGTGTGTCTCTCATAAAGGTGTGTCCCAAGTAAAATGCTCTCTCCTCGGAATTGCCCCTACAATACTATCATTTCCTCTTGAGTTTAAATTTATTATCTTCTTCGAAAGATACCGATATTACACTATTTTTTATATATTAAAATATACACTTTTCTCTCTTTTGTAAAATATATTCATTTTCATCTTAGGAGAGATGTTTATATTACACTATCTTAATTTCTCTCTTATGATTTTTAGTTTAGAAGTCTAGTGGTCATAATTCTACCCTTTAAAAATGAATAAGTAGAATGTAGTTGTTTCAAACTCACTCACATGTAATATAATAGTACTATTTAAAGGTGAATAAATTATATATTTATATCTCTTCTTTAACAAAATGTATTAGAAAAATAACATTCTCTTCTCCTAAAAAAATAATAAATTACATTCCTCCTTTTTAAGAGTTCATTTTTCCGTTGTCGATGAAGCTCACTCAAGTTATTGAAGGTTTTAGGAACCCTGATTTTGATACTTTCAACGAATGTAGATTGTCAATTAAAGTCTTAGACTTAATAGATACTTATTTCTCTCATCGTTTGCGCCCTTGACTAGCATTGCTCCTATGTTGAACCTCTTGATGTAGGATCATATCAACTTGTCTTTCATTTATCTGATGGATCTCAGGCTTTTCTCTAACTTGGGTCCCGATATCGTGAAGTGCATTGAAGACATCACCATCAAGTTCCAATACTTTCAACGAACTTGGATCCCGTGGAGTGCTTGTTTTTTGTACACTTGACGACGTTGAAATAACAACTTGTGTTAGTGGAAAGCTTAAGATCCATTAGACAAGGGAATTGTGAGCTGCTATAATCCTACATGTATAGATTCAGTGGAGAGATCATACTAGTCACGGGCGCCAACGAGAATACGAAGAAGTACATGTTAATTTTAAGACTCCAACAAGGATCCAAATTCTCCAAAATAATTGGAATTAGGGCCCATGAGTCTTAATATTGTCATTTTCACACATGTAATGTCCATAACACAGAAGAATATTGTCGAAGATTTAAACAGGAAGGTAAAGTTATCCAAACTTTCTCTCAAAGACATAATCAAATTTAAGAAAATGAGGCAGAAAAAAGAAAGGCCGCAAATAAGAATGGGTGAAATAGTCGTAGTGGCTAAAAAATATAGACATTATGACCATGGAGAAGAAAATAAATTATCAGTTGCATACACCTTCGCGGGGACGACATTCAGTGAATGGTATGGACTAATCACCTTAATGAATATTGAGGAGGAGCTACAACATTTCTGGAAGAAACTCCTTATTAACATCAAGTCAGGGCCAGGTGGTATAGGGGAGACAAATATTAGAAGTAACTAACTAAATGAGATCCCATATGAGCAAACTATGTTGGTCATGACTAGGGTAGTTTCAGGAGAATTCCTTCATAAAAATTTTAATATATCAAATTAGACTAAAATACTTAATAAGAGATTGAAGAGTATCTTATAAAAGAAGGATGAAAATATAGATTTTAATCTAAGGAGGAGGGATAATATAATTTATTCATCTTTTAGGGGAAGATTGTGCAATTATTTTTAATATGTTTTGTCGAAGAAGAGATGTAAATTTATAATTTGTTCACCTTTAAGGGACATGTGATTGAATGATCGCAACACGCGCACTGAGATGTCACACAACATGCTTAAAACATATTGCTCAACAAGTTGTCTACAAACATTAGCCAATCAAATCTTTCTTTCAATGTAACTTCTGCAGAATCTTAAACTAAACAAACCTGAACCAAATCTTGTAATCACCTTTGAAATCAAACACAAATGTTCCAGACATCTTGCTCAATAAATTTCTTACAACCAAACATTTATTTTAAAGCAACTTCAGCAGAAACTTGGACTGAACAAACCTGAACCAGCTCTTGTAATAACCTCTGGAATCAAACACAAAACCAAATGCGCCAAGATATGATCCACAAATTTCGAGACATCTTGCTTTCCTTTTTGCCTATAAAAATAAGTCAATCCAAGTGTAATAACAATCTCCCCCTCTGGTTTATTTTTTAGGCAAAGCACAAATTAAACACTTCTTCAAAGAAACACACCACATATAGTACACAAGAAACTCAAAGATAAGTGTGATGTGCCTTTTCTCCCCCTATTTTCCTCAAAAGAGACAATTGACAGAGTATCACCAACAACCAATCAATAGAGAATCAGTCAAATTGTGCCAGAAACCAATAATGCATCAGCAGATCCTGCCAATGGCAAGATATTACGCACATTCTTCTAGATATTCTTCATGCCATAATCACCATAGTGCAGCGAAGCTAAAACATGTTAGCTAAATCACAACCATAAGCATGAGCTTACAAATAACAATAGTAAACAACTTCTCAAGCAATCAGATAGAAGCAATAGTCTTTCTTGTATAACATAATCTCCTCCCAATTTCCTCAAAATGGAAACAAGTACCATAGAGAAAGAACACATACACCATATATCACAGTTGGACGTCAACATTGCATAAGCAATAACAATTTGAAAGACCACACTATTTTTTAATATATATTTTTTGTAAATAAGACGAGACTATGTCTCTCATGAATCAAAGCCTTTGAGAATATGACTTCTCATAGACCCATACAACACTTATTCATAAAAAACCATATAAGTTTCATCAACAAGTGCAATGATGTGTATCAGAACATCAGCAACATCTTTTTCAATATGCAACATGTAACTTAATGTCAAACCACTTGGACCAACATCAATCTCATCATTACAAGCAACAATGCCTTTGTTTTGAACACTCAAAGTGCCACAAATTAAAGAGAGAACACCAATAGGCGGTTGGATGTTATGATACTCAACATATTTAACAAATTGACAAAGACAATATTATCCATATTTCTAGACAGCATGAGTTCCTACATGGTAGAGAAAACCAGTGATGTAACAACATGTTACTTCTGATTGCAGACCAGATTCATCAATAACAGAAACATTGTGAAGACTAATGTCAAGGACATCTTTCCTAGCAAATAACTTGCTACTGAAATCCAACAATCCAAGAACAATACCATCATTCTTAACCACCAATTCCTTCACCAACATAGGATAACAAGCTCCGACATTCAACATTGTCTTCAACAACTTAACATCATTAGAAAGCTCCACAATTTCATTGTAATTTAGTGCTTCAACATAGAGTTTATCAAGAGTCGTTCTCATATTGCAAACGTAATTTCATTTGACCGTACTTTCTTCAGAATGAAAAGGAACTGATAGATAGTTCTTAGGAAGCTTATTCCTTCGATAAACATTTTAAAATTTATAACATTCTTTAAATCCTACTCATTATTTTTAACATTGTCATCAATGTCATGCAATATGTGTGTGTTAAGTTCCTCGATATCATGCTCTACAACTTATATAATATGAGCATTTTCCCTTTTGGAACATCCTTTTTCTTCATTGTTGATTTCTTACTAACAACTACAAAATTCTTCTTCTTACTAGTATTTTCTTTCTTTTTGGGTGTTTTTTTTGGACTTGGCAAGAGTAGAGACTTCTATAATATTATCTTAATAAATAGTTAGGATAAGTTGGTTTTTTTATTAATATTGTAAAATCTCATAAAAGGAGATAAGAATTGTGTTTTTCTTTCAAAATTCTTATAAAAATATTTATGAATTGTTCTAGGTCATCCGTAAGATTGATAACAAAAGATTTAAAAGTGAAATTAAACGAATAAACACATGGAATAAAAAAGATTAAAAAGTTTTCCTCTTTAGATGCATAACCATTCGTATAGTGTGTCTTCTCTTATGCTAACTTCTTAACTATTCATGCTATTTAAGAAAAAACATGTCATTTGAAATATTTAATTCATTCTTATTATCACTTTACCCTTATTTTTTTACGAATTCGAGTATTAGAATACTAGTTTTACAGATCAACTATCTCTTCAACATACTAAAAACTTGTTTCAGCGATCTAAAATTTTATCTCATTGTTCCACCCATCATCTCTAATTTTCAAGTGGAACAGAAATAAATTACGTTCTTATGGAATATAAATAAACTTAGGTGTTTTTATCGAATATAAATTATATTATGAGACATTATTTAGTGGAAATAAACTTTTTAATTAAGTTTTGAAATTATTTTTAATAAATTAATAATTTAACTATTAATTTTATTGTAAAATTCTAAAGTCAAATTGAATAATCACATATTTTTCTCTTCACTAATCCAACTCAAATGAAAATATATAAACATCTGATTGTATATACATATAAATTCAAACCCACAAATCAATCTCTTTTAAAAAAATGAAATCTTAACCATTAAACTATTTAGTAAAAACAAAATCCATTTTAAAATATTAATATTTATGAATTATATGTTCAGATACTATAATTAAAAATAACACTTTCAATTTTAACATTTAAATAACAAAGATGATAACTAGATATGATAGTACAATAAAAGAGTAGTGAGTGTCTGGTTTTCCACATCCGCACTTTACGTTATGGGTATATTTTTGTTTTTATTTCATTTTCACTTTCACACTAATTTTAAATTTCAAAATCAATTTTTATAAGTGGACCCCACACTCTTTCTCTCTGAGTTGTTTTGGTTTTTAGTTTTTGAAGATGAAGTCAGTAATCTTGTTTTGGTGAGACTGTGGGACCCATTAAGGTATACTGGTAACCAGCAAGTCATGGGCTGTTCTTTATCACACCTCTTAATTGCTTAATTTCATTACCCTAAACTTGCTATGAGAGAACTAAGAAAGAGAGAAATTGCTAAGAGAGAAGTTGAGAACAAATATCCAAATTTCTCTTGTTTGGATAATCAGAGAAATAGAAGAGAGTGATCAAGTTTTGATGTTGACATTATACTTATGTTTTAAATAATACTATCAGATATTATGAAGAGTTATTAGAAACATCGATACATAGTGTAGGAATAAACACCTTTAAAAAATAAGTATTTTTGTGAGAGACACATCACTTATCCACTTAAAATTTTAAGATGATAGGTGAGTGAATTCTTTCATTTATATATGTTTAAGTTTCCATATTTTTATCCAATATAAGACTATTTCTTCACTTACTCACACATGCTATATTATTCCAACACTAGATAGCATATATAATATATATGTCTGAATATTTAACTCAATTTAGATGATATATAAGTTGAATTAAAATAATAATTAAAATGATTAATATCTATATTAAATTATGTAAATTAATATAGACAAAGTAATTAACAAATATAAAGTTAGTTAGTTATATATAAGTTACAAAAATTGATAAGGATCATTTTTAATTTAAAGGCATATATATATATATAATTTTAAATATGATTAACATTTCTTTCTTTTTTTATTTCTTTTATCTTTTTCTTTTAACAAATAATATATTAAATTTATTTAATTTCTCACATCTTTCTCTCTTTTCATACTCTCTTATTTATTTTTTTCTTCTCACTTTTTTCTCCTAACCAAACAAACCCTTAAAAAAATAAATTTACTTTCAGTTATTTTTTATTGTATTCATGTATTCGACAATTTTTTAATCAGTCATTATATTTAATAAAAAATGTTAAATATTAAATTTTAGTTATTTAATTTTAATTTAAATATTAAATTTTAATTATTTAATTTTAATTTAAAAAAATATTGAATGCGCGGCAAATTGACTGACCAGGGAAGAAAATAGTTGTCTCCCTTTAAAACTGGAGAGAGAGTACAGTTACTGTTGCATATCCTAAGGAATTTTTGTGTAGTGAAAAACAATAAAATTTGTACAGTGTAAGCTACTGTTTGATGATAAGTTTCTGAAATTTCTATGGAAAGAAATAGATTCAACTTGCAACATTGCAAAGAAAATATGTAAAAGGTGAAAAAAATATTACAAACATATTGTATAATATACTCATGATGTTAAATGATTTGACTATACATTACTATGTACATAGTATATTTATACTAGTATTGTTGAGTAGATTGACAAACTTATCATCCTCTATATTTAAGAAAAAAATAAATGAACAATTAGAAGAGATTAACATTCAAATTTGAAAATTTTAAAAAAAATATACTAAATGATGGTGGACCAAAGTGTTTTACAAAGGTATTTCTCAAGTTGGGAATTCTCTCAAACTTGTTTCATGATTTTTAGTCGAGCCTTATAGAAGTATCTACATTGATTGCATCCTCGTTAGAGAATATTTGATCATCTGTAATAAAAATTTGAAACATTTCTTCAGTGAATCTCAACTATTAGTAAAGAAGACACGCTTCTTTTATTCAATGTTTTAAAAATCAGATCGAATCAATTAGTTGGACTGGTTGAACTGACAACTGAAAAAGTTATTGATTTAGTTTGATTGTTGGATCATATATGCTATTGAATCGAAAGAAATCGATCAAAATCAGTCAAAACTGGTGAATCAGTGGTTTTGGACGGGTCAAGTGCATATTTTTTTCTTAGACAAAATGACGTCGCTTTGATAATTTACTTTTTTTTTAAATTTAAATTTAAAATATAATTAGACTTTATTCAAAACTAATTTAGAATAATTTTTCTTAATCTACAATTAAATTTAGATCAAAATTTAATTAAATTTATATTTTGTATTATTTTCTTGTGAGTGATGATTATATTTAAAATTTAAATTTTAAGAATGAACATATAAAATTATAATATTATGAAATTTAAAATTTTGTAGGCGTCATAATATGTTTTAGACACTGAGTTATCCGGTTCGACTGATTTAGTAAATATATAGTTTTGTTATATAGATCGTTTTATTCAACAGAGATATTCAGTTTAGTCACGTAGTTCGGCCAGTAACTCAATGGTTTGACCAATAAATCAATGATCCAATACTCTCATAAATTTAATGACTGATCCGATTTTTAAAATATTACTTTTATCTAATTTAGAGCTTATAAACAATTTTTTTAGATAAGCTTTGCGACATTAGGGTCTTCGTAATAGGACAAAATTTGGTGATAAGTTTATGCTTGTTTGGAGGGATCATTATAAATTATCCAAAAACCTTGTGATCTCGTTTTCACATTATTTTTCTTGGGTATTTTTTTTACACTCTTACATCTTCTTAGTCATCTTTGGCGAAATTCTTTTTTTACCCTCAAAATTCAAAAATATATCTCCAAACGCACCATATTCCATTTTTCTGGGGTGATTTCAGAGATGCATTTCTGAAGTTACGGAAAATCCTTTTTTGAGGTGAATTCGGAGATGTATTTTCGAATACACCTAATGAACTATTTCGGAAGTACATTTCCGAAATAAACATTAACTGATACAAAAAACAAAAACATTGATACATTGACATTGAAACATAGAGACACCAAAACAGAAACCTTGAAACATAGATATAACATATAAGCCGAAACATTGATATTACATGGATATTACATAAACAATAACATAAACAATGACATAAACAATAACATAAATTAAACATTGAAAGTCGAAATTACATAGATATTGAAACATAAATTTAACATTACATATTGTTATAAATGGGTAACTGAGGACGTCACAACATTTTGATATCTTCAGCGGATCTCTGAATATTTGCATCCAACTCAATCGGACCCTTAGTAGAGTATTTGCGAAAACTACTCCACATACCCTGTAAATCCTCACCCGTCTTTAGCTCAAACTTGGTGAACTTGACCTTTCCATCATGTGTCAAGTCATAGTGAACAATATTCGACCTTGACTATCCTCCGATTTTCTGGATATTGCAAGAGAAAGTTGTGTATGATAATGAGCTCGGCAAAAGGCGTATCCTCGCATAACCTAAACTAAAGTGGAGGCATCACACTATTGAAGTAGACAAAAGTATGGTGATGATATGTTTGTGTCAATCTAATTTGTGGTGTGTGATATCTGATTTGTGGTGTATGATGTTGAAGAATAGGTTTAGGACACCCTATTTATAGAAGTTTTGGAACAATCTGGTCCTAAGAATTCTTATCCAGTGTCAGGGAATTTTTTGGATATACACTTCCGAAATAACCCCTTATATTTTAAAAAAACAAAGGTGTTTTCAGAAGTGTAGTTCCGTAATATTCCCTAATTGTTTTTTATAAATAATTTGAAAATACGCTTCCAAATTATGCAGAGACAAAATAAAAAGTTGGCAGAATTAATACCATTCAAAGATAAATTCATAATTTAA